TGTCTCTAGGTATGAGTGTGAGCGCGGATCTGTGAGCTGACTGGCAACCGGTTCAGGGTATCCCCCGCCGACTGCCTGAAGACAGCTGGGATGCACACACAAAGCTCACTACCTAACACTCAAACACAGACCTGCCAACATCACGTCACCCCATTCTATTTTCAAAAGTTGAAATACCTTTACAATATGCTTACAAGGTGCGCTTTCATACATTTAAAGGGGAAGTCAAGTCCAAAATGTGTTCTATGCACCCCCACTAGTCTAAACACAGCATTCTGATTAATATTACATCTGTGGAATATGTATAAATGTGTTCACTGTTGTTCAATCAGTTAATGCTAGTCTCTCTGCGTCCTTATAGATCACAGTTATCTTCAAGCCCTATGAGGGCTGCACCGACCAAAGGGTCTACCAGGCCGTGACGGACAACCTACCCGCCGCCTTCGACGACGGCACCGTGAGCAGCGGAGACCCCATCCATGTTTCAGTGGGGACCGACGGCGCCGCCGGCAAAGTGAGGGCCCTTTGGATCTCAGAGCGCAGTCCGGGCCACCACGTGGAGTTGCACGCGGGCTACATCGGCGTCACGGTTATCGTCCGACAGCTCGGTCGCTATCTGACCCTGGCGGTGCGAATCCCCGAGGAGCTGGCTCAGGCTTACGATGCCACCCAGGACCTGCAGCTGTGTCTGAACGGCTGCCCCAGAGTCGAGCGCATCGACCAGAGCGGCCACCTCCCCCTTACGCCGCCTTCGGTCGGCCTTCAGCTCCAGCAGCTGCACAGGCCCAGGTACTCCTCGCAGATACAGTTATACTCCCCCAGTGACAGGCAGATGTTCACCGCGGAGGGTGCGAAGGAACGCTGTCGGGAGCAGCTGGAGGTGCAGGACATTTACTTTCACTCCTGCGTGTTTGATCTCTTAACCACTGGGGACGCTAACTTCACGGTGGCAGCATACAGTGCGCAGAAAGACATGGAGAGTCTTCACCCGCACAGAGACAGATGGAGGATCTACCCGCAAGGTTCTGCCCCTTCCACCTTGCACCCCCAACCTTTGCAACTTCTCACTCTGCTCCTGCTTTGTACACTCAGCTTTGTGTAGAAGTGATAGTCCTGCATGTATATGAAGTGCACTAGTTTTTTCCCGAGCGCTAATACTGGTTCATCACTCAACAGGAAGGTTTTACTTTAGCAGAGGTGAAATAGTGGTCTCACTTTCATGCTTTCTTCATCTTTGGATCAGAAGCTCATGACAATGACTTCAATGTTGCTCTGTAGGTGATAAGTGATACATTACCCAATATGTAAATAATGTTTCTCACACCGTGTAATAGTGTAGGGTTTTTTTTTTTTTTTTTTTTTTTTTACATAGAAGCTTCATATTTTGATTTCTTTTTTGCTCATTGAAATCCATGTCAGTGTTTCTCACCCACGCTTAAGTCGGGAATTTTTTTATGAAAATACTGTACATCAATCTCAAAACTAGATGATTTTACTCAGTATAATGTTTTAAGTATTATGTGAGTTGTTATCTTTTGAATGTACTAAAAACATTTGTATGGACATGCTCTTCTTCTTCTTCTTCAGTCCTGATGTCAACGTTTTGTGTGTGTCAGTGTTTTTTCGATCCAATTGCCGACTTGCCTGGATGTGTTTCTAGTTATTCTCGGAGTCATTTTAGAGCATTCCCACCTCTTTGCCAATAGGCTGCAAGTACAGTCTATGGATTTGTTTCTTACTCACTGTAGTCTTTGTTGAGTTGATTTGAGCCAAAGACAAACAGTCGTTTCTTCATGTACAAAGGACGCAACTCAGCATCAAACCAGCACCTTCCCCCTCTCCTGCTGTTCGATGCGCTACTTTAAATTAACAAGCTGTCTCTTGCTGTGATCCCACGTCAAGTACTGAACGTTGGACTAATCCCGGCAAATAAAGGTTTCACCACAGTGTCCGTTTTTGGATATTGCAGCACTTGTTGCAAATTTTTGTTTTCTTTTTTTTTAATACCTGATAGAAATATGTCAACTCTGGACAATGAGCCAATAGGTCTTATGACATTCTCTGTAATTATTCTGTTTTGTTTGGCCATCAGCTTTAGCAAATGTTTTTTGCAATTGCAATTTTGTTTTGCGTTTCTCACGTGTGAATGTTTTGTGAAGCGAGGCTGGCATACTTAACTTATTTAAGAACTGTCGATTCCTGCATTGTATAGCTCCATCCTCTTGCCTCTGTGAATAATTTAAAAATTGTAAGTTGTGATTGTTCTGTCACCCAGTGGTTCTCTGTTGCTACGTCAAGTGTGTTATTCAAGGCACTTAAAACATGGAGGAAAGAAATTTGTCTTCAGTGTTTTATTTCAACAAACAATGGAGTCAAAACGTTACCTAATCATTAAAAGCAACATTTAAAACAACTTTCCAATCGATGAGATGAGAAGGAGTATTGGGATGACACTCTTAGAATGCACCAACGTCTGTCTGAGGTTAGGCAAGCTCCTGATAAGATGTGAGGTTTGGCTTTGACACAACCTCAACTGACAACGTTGTCTGCACCTGGAACGCAAACTTGTCAAAACAATAAATTGCTGCCGGGACTTGCCTCCCTTTTGACCCTCTTGTGGATAAATTACTTCATTCCAAATTATTCGATTACAAAATCCTTTCAGGGAGCCATTCTCAAGGATGGCGGGAGTCTTCAATTTCTAGTGCAGATTTCAGCGAGGAAAAAGTCTCCCTCTTGGATTGCCAGTGGGCACTTTCAACTCATCTGAAAGTGAAAAAAAAGTTTAAGTCTGAAAGAGAATTTTTTTTTTTAATGATTGATACGACGATCCACACATCAACTGATTATCAGTCTAAATCTGGCAATCATCTACCACAGTATATACTAAGGCTGCAGTCTTACTGTATTAAATGGATGCCCTTTGAGACACAAGCTTCACCAGCGTGTTCCAAAGTGGCAGCCTGACATAAGTAATGGAAAAAAAAGAAAGAGATTCAGAAAACGACAAGGCCAGATACAAACTTTTTTTTTAATACTGTACCATACTTAAATGTGTGAACGTTCTTCAGGATGGAAAATGATCAAGTCATGTGCCAGTCATGATTTGACTCATTTACTTATTTGTGTGTTGCACAAGTCTCTTACCACTTTATAACAGCGTGCACTGTCACCACAGAGTTAAGGACAAGAATCTTCAAAAGAAGCAGCCTCATGATGAAGACGATTATTATATTTGTCCATATTGCAACATCTGAGGATGAAACCGCACCATATATTAAAAAGAACCCGATCTTTTTGAATTGTGATAATAAATATAATGTAAGCTCAAGGAAACAATGTATGGTTAAAAAAAATACTAAAATATAAGTAAGATTAAAAATCAATTTGTCTATGAGATTTTTAAATGATGTCAGACAAGGTAGAGATAAGGTAGATGAACAAGAGCAACCACAATAATTAGCATGTACCTTTACTTTCATCATTTTCATTGCAGATGTCGTCTTGGGCATCTGGAGAGGGTACAAAGGAGTTACTGTCATGTAAAATATTTCGGATGGTGGAGATAGGTGACTCTAAACTGTGCAACCTGTGAAGGTGCTGTGGTGTCTCTTGCTCAGCCTGCGATGTCGACTCACAGAGCAGCTGTATGACGTCCACGCGTTGGTGGCCACTGTGATTCCTGCCACGGCGTTGTGGTTAAGATGCTTGCTATTTGTAGCAAAGTGGACAGGCCCGCTTGACCTGTAACCTTCTGACGGTGACCTCCAGGTGACCTCCAGGTGCCCTCTCCTGAAGTTCTTCACCATGCAAAACAAAAGCGTCCAGCCTAGTCTCTCCCCCGACAGGTGAACAGGAGGCGCCACTGATGCCAACGTGTCACATTTAACTCCTCATAACACAGAAGGAGAAGGTGTTTTTATGTTTTGTGTTTCTCCCTGTCGACTGCATATAAACCTGCATTACAAATTCACTTGATAAAGCGCAGGTTAATAAGAATCAAACAATATAAATAATTCCTAAATATAACTTGAATTTATTCATTTGGTTTTTGGATGTTTGTAATTTACTTGCGTTTCGTTATCGACACTTACTGGACCAAAATGGGGCGGTTGGAAAGCAAGTCACAAAACGATCAAATAAGGTGTGAAAAGTTGCAAAGACAATTACATTTGATTTTAAAAAATGTAATAAAAACTATCGTTATTATTCTTTAAATGAAATATGCTATAGCTCAAATAAAAACCTGTTCTGTAACACCAAATCCGCAAAAAAATTTATTACTGGGTGCAAATCTCTTATTTTCAAACACCCCCCCCCCCACACACACACACACACACACGCACAAATTAGGTTTAGCAGCGTAAAATGGTTAAGGTTCAACGATTAATCGATTAGCAAAACGATTATAAATTAATATGCTATGCTAATCAGTTACTCATCGATTAATCACTCGTTGCACCTCTAACACCACAATAACATGAACGTTTTTCCTCACCATCAACATTTTTCCTCACAAAATAAGGTCTTTAGTTTGCTGAGCCTTTTTTTTTTTTGCACATTCTTATGCGTTTAAAACCAACGTAGGAAAGTAGAAATTCTCACCTGTCCAAAAGATGATAAAACTAAGGTAAAATAGTGCTTTTTGTCGGTCCGTCATGTCTGCATCCGCTTCCAAATATCTCTCTGTTCACTTGTGTGGGGCCAATTTGCGCATCATTGTAACTGTAAGGGTGGTCGTACTTGAGTGCACGCCTTGCGGTTGTGCACACGTGCATTGGTTGAATGCCATTTCTCAGGAGCAGTGCATTCTGGGTCTATTGACTCGTGTTGTGACATTACACGAACAATGGACTCTCCTCGAGCCACACGCAAGGATTGATGGTGGCACATTTCCCCAAGACCGTCATAATATCTGAGGTAAGAAACTGACTTTCTGAACGCTTGCAAACAGCGCCACAACGGAAAGATTCTCTTTTCCTGCACCGACATGCCTCCTAGTGGCAGGTGGACTCCCGACAGTGGGAGGGGTGTTTAAAAGAGAAAGTGAAAGTTTCCAGTTTCCGGGCACAAGACTGGAGTGGTGAAGCTTAAAATGATCAAGGTAAAGCTTTCTTTGACTTTTTTTTCTTCGCAGCTATTCTTAAAATCCCCCAGAGACTGCTGGCTGGGAGCATTTCCAAAGACACTGTCATGCTACCTCAGTTTTGACCTGCCTCTGTGCCCCCTGCAGCTGTTGTCACCTCATACTTTTAGCTGTGGCCTGATCTGCTTTTGTCCACACTGACAAGCATGTGGCTAGTTGTTGTGTCGGCTACATCAGTCTCGGATGGATTACTTTTATGTTATATATTTTTTTGTGACCATGTTTCTTTCTCTACTTTGTGTTTGGTATTATATGCTACTCGATCACCATTTCCTTGTACTCCTGACCTTTACAAGCTATGTCCTCGTGTGCCGATTTTAATCTGCCCGCCCTTTTGCTCTACCTGTAACGGCTGATGTGTCATAAATCTGAGTATATTTAGAGTCACTCTCGATTCAGGCGACATCAGATACTTACTGCTGTCATGGTGTCGTGCTCTGTCGGAATCATTATTACTATCGCAGTTGTTGTGCTTGCTCTTGTTGTTATTTTTTTTTGCATTTTTTCAGGTTCTTCACCAAGCTTGGTAGTAGCGTTTGCAGAGTGACAACACTGGGGCAAAAATAATACTAAATTGATCGATCATGAGGGATTGAGCAATTTAACCCCAAAATACATCTTTTTGACATCTTTTAACTTCTGACACATTTAGCTTAAATGCTAGCTGGAACTGCCACAGGATGTTTATTTTATTCACTGTTACATTGTTCTAATGCTATTCTTGTTTTTGGGCCCATTCAGCCATCGATTTTCTATGGCCTTGTCCTCATTAATTTTACCAGTGAGCTGGAGCCTATCCTTCCAGCTGGCTTTGGTTGAGAGGTGGGGTACACCCTGGACTGGTCGCCAGCCAATAGCAGGGTCCACATAGATAAACCACCATTGATATTCATGGGCACATTCAAATCTTCAATGGACCTAAAATGCTTGTTTGTGGCATGTAGGAGAAAGTACCTGGGAGAAAAAAAAACATGCAAGCACGTGGGTTTTTTCCGGGTACTCCGGTTTCCTCCCACATTCCAAAAACATGCATGGCAGGCTGATTGAACACTCCAAATTGTTACTTGGTGTGAGTGTGAGCGCGGATGGTTGTTCGTCTCTCTGTGCCCTGCGATTGGCTGGCAACCGGTTCAGGGTGCCCCGCGCTTACTGCCCGAAGACGGCCTGGATAGGCTCCAGCACGCCCCGCGACCCTTGTGCTTACTGCCCGAAGACGGCCTGGAGAGGCTCCAGCACGCCCTGCGACCCTTGTGAGGATAAAGCAGATCAGAAAATGGATGGATGGATGGCATATAGGTTACATTGGTTTTTACAGGGTTTTAAAAGCCAGGATTAAAACTTAAAGCATAATGAAGACAATGTCTACTGCTTCAACGTTATCATGGTAGTTAAACATGAAAACAAAAGACCACTTACGGATCATCTTCATTGTTTTTTAGGTTTAAGAAGCAGAGCGAAGGAAAAAAAAACTGCCTGTGCATTTTGGCGGAGGACGTAGGCTAACAAAAAGAAGGATTTGACAGCTTGCTTTCATCAGCCATTATTCGCCTGGTGCACGGATTTGGCTTTTTCTTCAATCAAGGACATTTCATCCAAAATGGTCTTGGTGAGGCTGTTAGTGCTGTTTCTTCTCCATTCATATGTTGTTGGAATGCAGCCCACCCAAATTTCACAGCAGGCATCAAGCCCTCCTCGTCCTTCTGGAGAACAAACTCCTTTAGAGAGAGACAATCTGTCCTTCCCTTGGAGCCGTTTTCGTCTGCCAAGGTAATCTCCCTGCTGTCTTTACTGGAAAAGTCAAGTAATTACAAAATAAAAAAAACACTAAAAAACTGCTGGGATTTAGTCCAAGAATTCATTTTTCTTCTTAGGTATATTATTCCTCTTCATTACCACATCTTGGTGCACCCCAACCTCACTAGTCTCCGTTTCACCGGCTCAGTCACGATCCAAATTGACGTCCAGAACAACACAAATTGGGTTGTGTTACACAGTAAGGGTCTGCAGATCTCCAAGGCAACCATTCTGGACAAGAACCTTGCTCATCTTTCTGACCAGGTACCGTAGTCTTTAAAACAAAGCAGCCAGATTAGCACATGAATACTGATCGGACTGACCGACTTCATCTCATGTTCTAGGTTCTACCTTGTCTTCATAACCTTGCCCATGAGCAGATCGGCATCTTTTCTCCCAGGGTGCTCAGCAGTGGAGAGAAGTACTTCCTATATATTGAGTTTGAGGCGGAATTGGCAGAGGGCTTCCGGGGTTTCTATAAAAGCACCTACAGAACCAGTACAGGAGAGATCAGGTGAGAAGGAAATTTGCTGTAAAGAAAGTTGTAATCTGTATAATAATCGAGTCCGTGGCTGTTTATAGAACCTTAGCCTCCACTCACTTTGAACCTACAAGCGCACGCATGGCATTCCCTTGTTTTGACGAGCCAAGCTTTAAAGCCAACTTCTCAGTGCGGATCAGACGGAGCTCCGAGTACATTTCTTTGTCCAACATGCCGATCGTAAGTAGCGCAGCCGTTTGATTCCTGATTTGGTCTTCTGCATCAGACGCAATGGCAAATGACAGGGGGTCCGCTTGTTTCAGGTAAAATCAGTTGAAGTGGATGATGGCTTGCTGGAGGACCAGTATGCCGCAAGTGTAAAGATGAGCACGTACCTTGTAGCTTTTGTCATTTGTGATTTTAAATCTGTTACTGCGACAACATCATCTGGAGTGCAGGTAGGGGGCTATGAGAAAAACCTGTTCTCCAAGTTTATTGATGAACATCGAAATCACTGAGGCTTTAATTGTCCCCTCATGTACTGCAACGTGGTGAAAGGTGTCCGTCTATGCTGATCCGTGGAAAGGGTCTCAGACCCACTATGCCCTCGAAGCTGCTGTCAAAATGCTTGACTTCTATGAGGACTATTTCAACATCCATTATCCCCTACCCAAATATGGTAAAACCTTTGATTCCGTTTTTAACCACAAAGCCAAATCAACATCGCGTCACTTTTCAGCCATCCTCTTTCAGATCTGATCGCCATCCCAGACTTTGAGTCGGGTGCAATGGAAAACTGGGGCCTGACCACTTACAGAGAGAGCAGCCTGCTCTTCGACCCCCACTTATCATCTGTATCTGATAAACTGTGGGTTACCATGGTGATTGGGCACGAGCTTGGCCATCAGGTACGAGTGTATTTCGTCTCTTTTCCACCAAGCAGTTGGCTCAGGATGGAATGGATTTCAGCGAGCTAAAACTTCCAGTGTTTCAGTTTTTTTATATGCGTTTGTACAAATCAGTAGGCATGTGGATGGTGGAGCAAACTGCTGGCCACTGCTTGGTCAACAGGAATTTATTTCCATATTACAATGAATGCGCTGAAAACGGAAAACATTTCTAGAAACCGTCAGTACTATGCAAAACATGAAACTGTGCCACGCTCATTTATTGGTGTGGACAGTTTGCTACTAATGTGGGGTTATTAATTTTATTATTATTATTATTATTATTATTATTTATGTGTGTATTTATTTATGTATTTTTCTTTCAGTGGTTTGGTAACTTGGTAACGATGAATTGGTGGAATGATACTTGGCTGAATGAAGGGTTTGCCAGATATATGGAATACATTTCAGTTGAGGCTACCTACCCTGAACTAAAAGTGGTACGTGCTTAATGTAATGTAATGAAATGGTCTTGTGAAGTCCACTGTGAGGCTGAAGAACATAAAATAATGTCACAATGTCAACATCCTTACAGGAGGAAGATCAGTTGCGCACATACTTTGTAGCGGTTGCTCATGATTCATTGAATTCTTCTCGGCCAATATCCAGTCCAGCGGAGAATCCCACTCAAATCCATGAGATGTTTGACACCGTCTCATATGACAAAGTATGATTTCTGCCTTTCATGAGTGTAGTGCTTTTTATGAATATTTATAAATGGTAAAACTTTTGAAAGATTCAACTTTAAAGGTTACTTTGTTATCTATGCTCTATTGGTTTACTTTGTTGCTCTTACAATTTAGCGACGAGATCCCTTAGCAACTGTGATTGCATCTGAAGCAAAGCATCACAAACAGCTTGTGTAAAAATATCTGTCCATTTTCGACATCGCATAATTGTTATTGCGGCTTTCGGTTAGTCCCATCAGACTCCTAAAAACACCTTTGTTTTCCTTTCTGTACCTCTAGGGGGCATGCATCCTGCACATGCTGCGACATTTTCTGGCAGAAGATGCGTTCCAGAGTGGGCTCATTCGATACCTGCGCAAATTTAGCTACCAAAACGCACAAAACCAAGATCTGTGGGACAGTCTTGCCAATGTATGAACACAATTAAAATGAGTATCACTCGCCTCTTTGAGAATATACCCTAGAAATATCATAATTGTACTTCGTTATAGACCTCATTATGATGGATGGATGGATGGATGGATGGATGGATGGATGGATGGATGGATGGATGGAGAGATAGATAGATAGGTTGCATTTGATTCATTCAATCTCTGATTTTTCAGATTTGCTCAGAGGAGGATTTCATCTCAGGGCAGCATTGTTACAGCAGAGAACAGGCCCATAAAAATTCAGTAAGTAAACTCCTGTTGAAACTGCCAACCTCCATCTGGAAAATGTTAAATTGTATAACGTGGCTATTTTTTTCATTCAGTACATTTTGGACAGCCAACACTTGGACTTGACAGCCATAATGAACACTTGGACCATGCAGAAAGGTGTTCCTCTGGTCATCGTCAACAGAGCGGGGCCACGTCTGATGCTCAGACAGATCAGGTTCCTGAGGACAGAGCTGCCCTCTGACCCCCTCTGGTCCACATTGCAACAAGGGTGAGCATGCAGTCAAAGTTGTTCTCTTCAGCATTCACTTCCTGGTTACATGATTTAAACATCACTCTTTTTCTCCAGTTACTTATGGCATATTCCTCTCACATACAAGACGGATACTTCCAGCATCATCCACAGACACCTCATGACAACTCACACAGGTAAGCAGGAAAAGTTCAATTGATTCTCTTACTACCTCTAATGCTTCTGTTATTTTGCTTTTGTTTCCACCACAAAGTGAAAAAAGCCACCATTGGTTTGAAAAAAGCCTTCATTGGTTTAAATAACACCTCAGGGTGTCACGTGCGCATAACAAGGGGGACATTCTAATCAATGAAACGTATTTGTCTCATTGCCATTTCCTCTCAGTGGAACTAAAAGCCCTCTTGGCTAGACGAAACACACACTCCATGAAACTGTGTTGAGCTGCATATAGTCGGCATGTCGAACATGCGTTGTCTTATGTGACAGGGCCCGATCATGAATGCCATAAAATAGAGGCAGAGCACAAATTTTGTCTAAATGTAACTTCTAAACTTACTCCAACATAATTTCTTGCCAACAAGATGCTACAAGATGGCGCCAAAGCAATACTTCATAGCTTTGGCCCAAGCCCTTCAATACAGTGTTAGCCTATTTCACGTCTCCCTTGATACTTAGCAGAGCACTTTGACGTAGTTTATGAATGAATGCGCTTTCACTATCATGTGAATAAACATTTTTGTTTCAAATTACTCTTTGCCATAAATCCTTTCTGTTGATTGTAGTATTTCCACATGTGTTCGACTGAATGCATTTCTACTGTTTGTAATTGTTGCCTGCGTGTTTTCCAGACAGTGTCCACATAGGAGAGGAGGTCAACTGGGTAAAGGTCAATGTGGACATGACTGGCTACTATGTTGTTCATTATGAGGATGGTGGATGGGAGGAGATAACAAAGCTTCTGAGGGAAAACCACACCGCCCTGAGCTACAAAGACAGGACGCACTTGATACACAATGCATTTCAACTGGTCACGTAAGACTGTATAAATTGTAGCCTACATACTGTACTGAAAGTGTGTTTTTGTGTCACTAGTAGCACCCAAAGTGCCCGAATTGCAGTTTCTGTCAGGGACTAATATAATAAAGGATTGCTTGGTTTTATATACTGTCATAGGACATTTGGATGTGGCTAATGCTACACAATGAACGAGAATACGAGGTAGAATACGTCATGTGACACAAGAAGGCACGCTCAGTTATCGCCATACTTACAGTTTTTTATGTGATTGTTTTATATTTATGGCCCAAAAGTGTTTTCCTTTGAAGTATTTCCTTTATTTTTTACTTTATCACCGTTAGTGGAGATGAATTAGTCTACGATGTGTTCCGACTGTCGTACAAATCTGGGTTGCCTCCCCACTGGTAGGAACGGAAGGACTACCTCCGGCAGTTGTTTACTTGATGAGTGAGGATTCTGTTGAGTGTGTTGATTAATCGCATATTGAAGCAATTGAGCATTTCATGTTTGTTTCTTAAATTATTATTCGGATTATACTTGACTGAAAAAAATTACAATAAAATACATTCCTTAGTATGTTATGTATTATAACATAAATTGAAAAAATATGAAGCAAACAGCAACTCATTGGTCATTTATTGATTTTTTTTCCACCCGGATTCCATCAAGGAAATTCAATGAAATTCTCATCCCTACTTGCCTAAATTGAATCGAACCACATGGTGGAATCATCCACTTTGAATAATAACATGTGACCCTTCAAATGTCTTTGTGTGCACTTAAAGGGCAGGTTATCTTCCGCTCAACAAAGCATTGGATTTGATTGGTTATCTGCATCTGGAAACGCATACTGTGCCTCTGCTCCAAGCATTGGGCTACCTGGAAGCCATTTACCATATGATTGAGAAACGGAGAGATGTTGACCTGGTGCAAAATTTTAGGGTAAGAAGATAAAAATATATGAAGACTTTGCTGAACTATGAAGCTTCACTTAAGTTTGCTTCCTTTGGCGCAGATGTACATTCTGCAGTTTTTTCGTGATGTCATTGACCAGCAGACATGGAGTGATGAGGGCTCTGTGTCGACTCGACGACTGAGGTCAAATGTTCTCTCCTTGGCATGCCATCTGAACGACCCTTCCTGCCTGGATGAGGCACACTCGCGTTTCAAAGACTGGCTTCAGTCAAATGGAGCTCTTAAGTCGGTCCTTCTATCAGCCTCACTTATATTTCAGAATTTCTGTTGATACTTGATGATGCCCTAACAAACCTGTGTTGCAATTGTGTTACCCGTAGACTTCCCACTGATGTGGCCCAAACTGTGTATGCAGTTGGTGCCCAAGATCATCATGGATGGGCCTCACTCTTGCACATGTACAGGACCTCAAGCTCACCGGCACAGAAAGACAAAATTTTATTTGCTCTTACTAACAGCAGAAACACAACTAAATTATACAGGTACATTCCCCAAATGACTTGATTGAAATTACTGAATAACGCCATCAGAAACCACCATTATTGTGATTGTGAATTGCAGTTTGCAATGGGATAGAACTGCATGTACGTTGAAGCTTACACACCCTTGTATCAGGCTGTGTACCAAATACCTGATGATAACATATTTTCACATGGTTTTTGCTGCCACCATGTGGCAAAGAATTATCTTTATTTGCCTGCTCTATGATACAGAACAACTAATTGGATGTTTGGTATTATAGCCTGTTGGACCTGGGTCTGGAAGGTGAGGTTATACGACCCCAGGACTTGTCCACGCTCATCTATAGGGTGGCAGACAACCCTCGGGGACACCACATTGCATGGAACTTTGTCAAGAAAAACTGGAGCACGCTGGTTCAGAAGTCTGTGTCGATCAGGATATAAATGATTGTTTTTTTAATTTGGAGACATGGTTGAGAAATGGTCTAATTAGCTGCTCTGTAACTTCTCTTCTTCAGATTTCAATTGGGCTCATCTACTATTCAACACATCATCATAGGTACCACGGGGCAGTTTTCATACTTGGAGGAATACACTGAGGTATATGCATCTTGACCACATGTTGTAAATAGTATCATACGGTATGTCATTGTGATTGTGATTCTACCGGCAATGGCTGTAGGAGTGTACTGTATTTCCAAATGAATGTTGATGACTAGTGATAGTTGTGTTGATTTCTTATTTTAATTTTTAACCATTCAGGTAAAGATGTTCTTTGAGTCCATCAGAGAACATGCATCCGAGGTCAGAAGTCCTCAATTTGCACTGGACAACTTGCAGAAAAATGTTCGCTGGATGCAGAGGAACTTGGAGACTTTAAAAAACTGTCTGAGTGAGAAAAAATACTCGTGACAGAAGAAGGACTTAACACTTTTGTTTTAAATTACACTCTTCATTTGAGAATGAAAAATGTGTTTTTCACAACGAAACATTTGTACTGACTTATATATGAGGGTGTTTATGTGGGTGTGTACATGTCATGTCACTGTATAATTGGCTTAATACAGAGGATATTAGTATTACAAAATCATGTAGCTCAACATTATTTTATCAAAAGACAATAAAACGCTTAACTGCTTTTTTGTGATTTGATTGTGAATGTAAAGTCTCGTTTTGAGTTTTGCAATTTGCATATGTAAATGAAACGGGATATAATTTGTTCCGGCTCCATGGTGACGGTAACATTGGCTTCTAGCGGACAGAAGAAGGATGGCATTTCAACGCGTCAATGTTGAGGCGTGCAGGTGGTTGTCCGCACATTAAAAACGCGTGGAAATCACAAATATATTTGTGGACACATGAAAAAAATCGCAGATCTATTTGTGTGAATAATTTTGAGAAAGCAGAAGAGGACTTACACCCTTTTCTCAAAACAAGGACGCCAAAAAACAAAACAAAACACTGAATGTTTCTCATTAGAACGCCAACGTTTCTCAATAGAACGAGACAATTTTCTCGTTAGGGTGATTGTGTGGGTGCAAAATCTTTAAGAGCCATGACGTCGAAGTTTGTTTTTCCGGTTCTGCGGGATAGTACTGTATGCTTTTTAATGTAGCCCCGCCTCTTAACAGTTAGCCAATAGGATGCAAGTGTTGGGTCCGTTCTCAACAACTGGTCAGCGAGGCAGCAGAGTGCCATCTGTCGTAGTACATAATATGAGCAACCGTTCCCGAACAAATATTGGCGTGTGTATGTGTATGTTCTTTTCGTTTATGTAACGTGACTGCATACAATAATCTTTTGAAGTGAGTGAACTACAATTATGAGAAGTTGGCTTTAGCTGCTACGTAGCTGGTGTTGGTGTTGTGAGGACGGGTTGGAGTCAAGCAGGCAGGCAGTTTGGTGAGGTGCCCGGCCATTATAGCCATACGTCGGATCTAAACGTGTCCAAATATCCTGCTCCCTGGACGTAAGGACCTCCTTCCAATAACCTGCGATGGATCCCTTTGACTATAACAGTACAGGTAAGGAAGTACGAAGGTTACTGTACGGGCGGTGTACAGTACGTGACAGCATGCTAACAGCAAGCAAGCTCGCTAAGAATAACCATTCATTGTGAGTGACTTTGAGCCGCGGACACATGTTGCGAGAGGTCAATTTGAAGCTTTTTAGGAGGGTGCTAATAACTCAACGTACAATGGATCACCTTAGACGCAAACCAAACACGGTCGTGCTTCCGCTTTCTATTTAGATTTGATATTGTTAGCCGCGTTTAGTCACGGCGTTTTGAGCACATAAGTCGTGCTCAGCTTCGCTTTCCCGACCGATGATCAATAACCTCTGCTGTCGTCCCAAACATATCCAGGACGTTATTGACAAAAACAAACAATCACATTTAGTCAGTCAGTAAGTCAGATGTCAGAAGCCATGAGAGGTGTTGTCAAACTAATGTTACCAATGGATGCCAAAAGCACTTCCTTATTGTTGTCGTTTGGATAAACGACCCAAATCACCTTTAAGAGTTTCCTTTTATGGTCGACAACAGGGCAAAAAGCAAATACAGTACCTTATTCTCTGCTCTTTTGATATGTGTACAATGTGCTGAACATCGGGTGATAAAAAAGGAAACGTTTGTCTCTCACCTACTTTTGATAAAATATCATAAAATTAAGAAAAAAACATTCAATTTAATTACTAATTTACTTAATTAAACACGTATGATAAGATGATCTTTTCATTCGCAGATCGCCACATGCATCTCATTTTTTAACGTTCGTACTTCTTGCTACTTTAGTGTACTTTACGTTACTTCCTGCCTACATTTTCTCTTCTGCTTTCTGCTCTTATTCTCTTCTTTTAACATCCTTTGTTTCGCCGTGTTCTCCGAAAGCCAAAGAAAAAGCAAAACACGTTGATCCTTGGCTTGCTCTCAGTTTTGAATACACAGTGTTTTCTGCGGCTTGAGCGGCATAATTCTCTGAGTTCTGGATTGTATGATTTAATTTATAATTTGGAGTCACATGTTTTTATTGTTTCGGTTTATATGACACGATTATCATCTGGCTTATTTCAAGTAGTATTTTTATTGTCTCCTTCTATGGATATTACACATTACCCAGTGCAGAGTTCCTTACCTATTAATAGGCATTTGTGCAGTCAGTGTGAAGCCAACAGACAGACGCCTGTGTGCCAGAATGTATGAAGTTGTTCCCCCCCTTCCCCCCACCCCCATTTGCAATTAGGCTTTATACATTGTAACGTCTTTTTAATATCACCATTTGAAGGCACATTTCCCCTTCACATCGATGACCTATCGGCCAGATATCATCTTTACACAACTTAGGATGAAGAAATGCAGGCAATTAGCATGGGTCCATGTTTTACTACATGGACTAATATTGAATTAGGAAGCTAAACATGCCATTCATTGTTTGGGAACTGAGCAGAGGAGTGGGTCCATGTTTTACTACATGGACTATAATATTGAATTAGGAAGCTTAACATGCCATTCATTGTTTGGGAACTGAGCAGAGGACGAAATTCCCTCCCAGATAATTTGCTATAGACAAGGAACATCTTGTGCTACTGCTCACGGTGCAGGGAAGGTTGAGGAAATGCATGCTCGTGCTGTGGTAGCATGTGACAAGAGCAGACAATACATTGTAATTGATTGTTCTATTATTTGGAACTCGTAGAGCCACTCTCGCGACAAAACGTCGTAATTGCCTCAGCGGCATGTACATATAGCCTTGTTATAAACATCTATCCATCAATCAATCAAACTTTCTTTATGCTGAAGGAAGCTGAGATTGTGCTTTGTCAAATGAGACACTTTGGCAATCATTTGTTTTTGCAACATTCCACTTGGAAACCCAAACATTATGTTAATATGATGCCCTCAATATCTTATGATAATGCGTTGCAACAGTACACGCTCAGTGGCAGCAGTGTTGAATGTAATGACCAAAAAGATGATAAAGATCTTTCGATGTAATTCAGTGCAGTTGTACACGACTGTACGCTAAGTCATGCCAAATTGATTATTAATTAAAACAAGATATTAGGTTCTCTTTACTTTATCAAAAAATGGTAATAATATTAATTACATTTATATATAATGGGGTTATATTGTACAGTACTGTGCAAAAGTTTTTCACAGCAGTCATTTTGAAATTCTGAAATACAGTAAAACAAAATTTAGCCGTAGCACTTTTCAATAAATAATGAGAAAGTCCCACAAAACAGCGGGGTGCCGCATGTTCCAAGAAAGAAATCGTGACAATTTAGCGAAGATGTCAATAACATTGCATTTCCAGTAAATTAGTATTGCATGAACGAAGACATACCTCTTGAAAAAGTAGAAGACAATTAAATCAGCTTTCACACCCTGGCCTCACACAGACAGCTGGTTTATTTAGCTGATTGTGTTGGTTTGCTTGACAGTTACCATACAGGGCGGTGTCATTTGTGTAACAGAGCCTTCCCTGAATAAATTAGGGAAGGGCAAAAAACAGTAAAACAAAAATGGAATCCTGTGGCACTTTGTTCAAAGTTAACACGAGTGAAGAGGTGAAAAATATTCAGATGCTCCGCTCAACTTTGACATCTTTAATTTCCTCTTGTGAGTTAAGATTTTTTTTTTTTTTTTTTTTTTAAATCAAGTTGTTTAATGTCCCGAACGTTATGTAGGACACTTTTATTGGTGTTCCCAAGAGAATCACATTGTAATTCGTTCTTCTGCATAGTCCATGCTCCTAAAACAAAGCACGTTTATTTGTTGGTCTGCTGTATTGTTTGTACTGACATGCCAGTTCTGTGTGCAAACATTTTAGGGACGATATTTAATTTAGCAGTGTGTAATTAAATGAATAAATTCCTAAAAATAATTGAAGGTGCCATTCTTTTTTTTTTCCTTGATAATTGTTGACGCCCATTTTTATGATTTGAAATTCAAAATGATCAAATTTAAGCAATTGCACAGCCAAATGGCTGTCATCATCAAACCTTTATTAACTGTCCTGAAAAAAACATTTTTACCTTGTAAAAAAAAAAAAAAAACAGTTTTGCCGTTGTGTACTTTGATGATCTCAGGCACAGAGGACGAGGGGAGTCACTTCATAGAAGAATTTCAATTGTTTCGTTCCTTTTGTGGCATTTGAGTTATCGCTGAGCGACCATATTTTACTGAACAGCCAGTGACCGCTTTCCCAAGTCTCCAGTTTCATTCATGGTAAAGTTACCCTCTGTGGTGACATCCGAAAAATGCTCAACACACATGCGCTGTTTCAGAGCTGAAGTGTCTTGAAAATAACTCGCTTTTTTTTTATGACTTCAAAGTGACTGAAAGTTTTGGTCAAATCGTGGACCTGCTCTGGGGCATTCCGCTTGAGAGGTTCCACTGTAATTGAGCCTTACCAAAGCTGACATGTGGAAGGATTTGACCTTGGATTTGGTGACTGTGCTTTCTGCTCTAATTATCAACTCTGCTTTGGTGTGTTTACCAGTAGTGACCTTTGGCAAAAACCCAGCAGACCCCCCTGCAGGAGGCGATGGTTATTTATTTATTTTTTTCGTTTGTTTTTTTCTTTTTGCACCGTGGATGTCAACCTCAACCACTAAACTGTCAACCATTGCCTCATGATTACTAAATTACTAAAAGTGAATTTGTTAAGAGTCTTCTCCTGGCGCTCTGTATTCCCACTCTTTGCCAATGCCAACGGTGAATTGCAAATGAAACAAAGTTTGAATGAGAATTAAAAAAGACCCCAAAAAACCCCGATATTGCAACAGCTCTGATCGCAAGCTACAATTGCAGACTGCTGACCGTTAACAACTTCCGGTGATGCAGGTCATGCACTACCGTAGGTTAAAGGTGACCTGCTTTTTTGTTTTCTATTATTTTTAAAAATATACTTTTTTTTCTTTTTTTTTTTTTGTGAAACGAAAACTGATAGGATGCTTAGGGTGGAGTGTACACTTAAAAAATATCTAATATTAATAACACGACACGAGAATATTAATAACAGCACAGACAAACGGATTGGAAAGGGAATATTAAATTATGGTATTTTTTGAAATAAAGCATATGATATTTTTCCTTCTACAAAAACACAATTGTAAAGCCCAAACCTTTGAATATAGTGTTAATGTTGGATATTAACAGGTTGCTCACGCTTCCTTCATTTTGTGTCCATTGAGCCAATGATGCTGTACTGCGCTTTCAGACCTTTCCGGCTCTAGACCCAGATGATGCCGTGTATGAGCCTCGCAGCTCTCGGCTACTAGTGCGAGGCCTGGGCGAGAACGACGTGGATGATGATGAAGAGGACTGCGAGTCTTCAGCCCGTCTTCTGGGCATGTCCTTCATGAACCGCAGCGCCACCCAGAGATCGAGCGCCTCTCCTTATGTCAGACAGCCTCCACCCATACCGTAGGTTAAAGGTGACCTGCTTTTTTGTTTTCTATTATTTTTAAAAATATACTTTTTTTTTTTGTGAAACTAAAACTGATAGGATGCTTAGGGTGGAGTGTATACTTACAAAAATATCTAATATTAATAACATGACACGACAATATTAATAACAGCACAGACAAACGGAATGGAAAGGGAATATTAAATTACGGTATTTTTTTAAATAAAGCATATGATATTTTTCCTTATACAAAAACACAATTGTAAAGCCCAAACCTTTGAATATAGTGTTGATGTTGGATATTAACTGGTTCCTCACGCTTCCTTCATTTTGTGTCCATTGAGCCAATGATGGTGCACTGCGCTTTCAGACCTTTCCGGCTCTAGACCCAGATGATGCCGTGTATGAGCCTCGCAGCTCTCGGCTACTAGTGCGAGGCCTGGGCGAGAACGACGTGGATGATGAGGAAGAGGACTGCGAGTCTTCAGCCCGTCTTCTGGGCATGTCTTTCATGAACCGCAGTGCCACCCAGAGATCGAGCGCCTCTCCTTATGTCAGACAGCCTCCACCCAGGTAGCAGGATTTCGTCCCTTCTTGACATTTTCATAATTACACTCGTGCTTCTCGACTAATTAGATGCACTGTAGATAAACTGGTTACTTCTCTTGTGTCCCAGGTCATGTTCACCACCCTCAGCCCGCACCATGATTGTTTGTGTGCTATTTCTGGTCATAGTGGCTTCCATGACCATGGTATTATACTTTTTACCCGGGTGCATCTTTTCAAAGGTAGGCAAAAGTGAACACGCTTGTGCATTTGAAACATTTCAGGTTCCACAATTTCTCTCTGTTACTCTCACTCACCCAGCCTGGAGGTCTTGTGGTTGGTGTGTCTTCCTCACAGTTATGACTTTCCGAGTCAGAATCTTTACGCCAGCTTTTCAGGGTGGAATTTGCAAGTCCTCCCCATATTTGCATTTAAAAAAATGATAATTATAATTTCACCGGCATTTTATTTACATGGTAACTGGTTGCGCAAATCCACTTTCTATGATAGAGGGCAATCCAAGTTGCCACTTTCTGACTCTGTCGCTTCAGTTCCATATTTGCATTTTAAAAAATAATTATTAAAATTTCACCGGCATTTTATTTACATGGTAACTGGTTGCGGAAATCCATTTTCTATGATAGAGGGCAACATCCAAGTTGCCACTTTCTGACTCTGTCGCTTCAGTCGGTGACTCATTGAGCACTCACAAAAGCTCCGAGGCACATCAATACCTATACATTAATAAATGTGGTCATGTTTTGTTAAGAGGTTGGACACAATCTTACCTTAAAGTAGACACATTACCCAGCCAAAGCCTTACTCTTATAACAACCCCACTTACTTAAGATTAAATTGTCTGGACTGTATAATAATTTTTAATGTCTCTGCTGAAATTATGAATCATAAGTTATTACCGACCAGCAGTCCAAAACGCACGTCACAACTATTAAGAGCAAAGAAAAGACAAGATTTTCTGCTTAATCCTTCTGCCCATCCTCAGGTAGGGGCTGGAAACTGTACAGATTATCACAACAACATTGCACCCTGTCCGGGTTGCGTGTTCCAAAACGTCGCTCTTGAAACCACAGACTCAACCTCTCCCGGTTGTTAGTACAACCACCAAGAAGTTCCCAAGTAGGGCGAGACTTTTTCAAATTCCATGTCGGGTTGATGATCGTTTAGAAAAGGGAATGGATTAATGGACTCTTCGGGTCAGCCATTTCTCCATAAAAATCTTCAATTTTTTTTTTTTTATTTTTTTTTTGCAGACGGGATGCCCTAAACAAGAGAACAAGACGTCAAATGGCACTGATGATGAACTCTTCCCGTGGGCACAATACCAGCTCCCTCGTAGCATACGTCCTCTCAGCTATGATCTCACCTTGAGCCCTAATTTGAGCACCATGACTTTCAGCGGCCACACTGTCATCAACATGTTTGTACTTCACAACACCAAGCGCATTGTCCTGCACAGTGCTCATCTCAATATTACCAAAGCTGCATTCAAGGTGAGATTTAGGTTGAACTGGCTTTGTAAGCATAGCAACATGCAGTCTGTAATTGCTGTGCTGCATGTGCTGTGGTACACCTAGTCACTGGTGCTATCCAGGAATGGGACCGGCACTGGATAAATGGGGTTGGGTAAGGAGGGGGTGGGGGTTAATTTGGTGTAACAACTAATCCGGACAAATCCCGTGATATCCAAAAATCTTGAAGTGCAAAATCAATTGTATGTGCTGTGGGGATTTCTGAATATGCACAGAACTTGTGCTGATGCAATAACGCTCTTTTTGCTGGGAAAAACATTTAAAATAATATTTCTGACTCAAATCTCATGAGATTAGATCATTATAAAGACACTAGTTCAGTGGTTCTTAACCTTGTTAAAGGTACCGAACCCAACCAGTTCATATAATAATTTTATTTGCGCATCCACCGAACGAACCCTTAGTGAAAAATAAAAATATGATTCGAGAAGTGTTCCTTCAGTTTTGCCCGTGCGAGACGAGAATTGTTCAATTTAGCTTGACAAATCATGCAGTAGGACACTGAGTACCATCACGTTCCGTGATGCATGTGAATCCATGTTGTACATACAGTATTCGTCTGACCACTTTCTTTTATTTTTTGCTCGACATTGCATGTATTATTATTATTATTATTATTATTTTTTTTTAATCACTCAATGTACGACCAGGACAGTCACATGTAGACTACTGAATGAACTAAATTTCCCGCAGCACTGATTGGACAAGCAATGTAATGTGATCATCTGCAGCCAGTGATGGCCAAGCGGGTGTGTCGTAACTAAATGAAATGTTGAGTCGGGTGTGTCTAACCCTCCATGGCAGAGGCTCTGTCGAACCCCTAAAACTGATTCACTGAACCCCTGGGGTTCAATCGAACCCAGGTTAAGAACCACTGCACTAGTTTTATGATAAGTACCGTAGTTTCTGCACTATAAGGCACTTCGGATTATAAATTGCACCTTCAATGAATGGCCTATTTTAAAACTGTTTTCATATATTGGGCGCACTGCATTATAAGGCGCATAGAATCGAAGCTCCAATAGTGGCTGCGGTTGCGCTATGCATCCACTAGATGGTGGTATGCTAAAGGGAATACAATACAATTGAATACAGCTTCCTTTATACAGAGCCTTCACAACCGCTGCAGCTGTAACAAAGCTATGAGAACTGGTCACAAACACGGACATGAAACATATCAATCCAAATGACATTACAAAACAATAAATGAAAGACAAAAGTTATAAAGACAATTGATTCAACAAAAATGCACACAAATCTTGTAGGCTCACATCCACAAGAGGCTAAAATGCACCCAAATCTCGTAGGCTCACATCCACAAGGGGCTAAATATGCTTAGAAGTCTTGCTTGTCTTCTTTCTCCTTCGTTTAGTCAGTAATTAACTGTGCTTTTGGTATTATCTTAGTTTCATCATGGCTGCGCGAAGCTAACAAAGTCTGTTTGCGTGTGTGTCGGCGAATGCACATGTCATTAGTCCATTAGTGTCAGGCAGAACCCTTTTAGGTTGCAATTGGTTCCTGCTAATAATCACCACTAGATGTCATAGGAACACTAACAGGGAAACAACTCAATATAAAGACATTATAGGGCCCACTGTCGGCTTTTGAGAAAATTTAATGCTTTTAGGTGTGCCTTATGATGCGGAAAGCACGGTAATTTGTTACAGTACTTAGGACAAACGTGTCTTGGAATCATTTGAATGTGTGGTGTGCTCGTTGTTAACTTGAGCTTTCTCTCTTCCAGCTTGGTGATGGTGAGCCCAGTGATGTCACAATACTGGAGAACAAGCCAATGGAGCAGATAGCTGTTAAATTGTCTGCAGAGCTGAAGGCAGGCCAGCATTGTGTGTTGACCCTGGACTACAGTGCCAGTCTGTCACACACCTACAATGGTTTCTACAATAGTTCCTACATAGATCTCGAGGGAAACAAAAGGTACATCAAGCCACGGGAGAATCTCCTAAAATAATTTGCAGAGTTCATTTACAATCTAACATTTGTCACTTGCCATACAAAAGAAAACTAAATAAGAAATAATTTTTCCCCAGGGTCCTAGCTGCTACCCAGTTCGAGCCATTCTATGCGCGAAAGGCCTTCCCTTGCTTTGATGAGCCATCATTTAAAGCCACCTTTCTGGTGAAAATCAACAGGAAACCAGAGCACATGGCACTCTCCAACATGCCTAAGGTACTTTAGGGTTATTTATAGTTATTGATGTTTTTAATTTCTCCCAATTCTAGTTCCAAGTCTTGCAGCGTGAATTTTGTCGTAGGCAGTGGTGACATGTGGAGTGAAAATGACGATAAAGTACGGCTTGTGCCTGTCTGCTTTGTTATAAGAGAGCCTGAATTGAAGGGGAGGTGCGCTACCACAGTGTCACTTTTTTTCCCCTCTACATGGCTTTTTCCATTTGCAATCAATCAAGATGGGAAGAGACAGAATAGAGTTTAAAATGGGAATCCGTGACCTGATTAGGGGAAAACTCCTTATGTCCATCACATAAAGTCTACCTGTGCAATAATAAGGAGAAATAAAACCAAGACGATTTGTATTATTTTTGTCCTGGGTGTACACAATACTACACCCACAATAAAACATAATCATGTTATGGTAATTTATTATGTCTCTGAGAGGAGCAATCAAAATGGAACGTCATTTATCAGTGTAAAGGCGGAATTCACATATTGGATCTCTTTTCAATGTTGTGGCTCGTGATTGTATTGTAAGGCATGAGCTTATTTTTCTTTTCTTGGGAATCACACACGTCATCTTTGTCCACCATGCAACTTTAAGTTCTTGGCATGCGGATATTTTACTTTACCAATAAGTACAGTTTGTCTGAGGAACCAAAAACCCACACACCCTCCAATGTATGTCTCAGGCAAAGACCACACACCTTTCCAGTGACCTCCTGCAGGATGAGTTTGCAAAGGCCAGCGTCAACATGAGCACTTACTTGGTGGCATTCGTGATTGGTAACTTCGCCGCCGTGAGCAAAAACGTCTCTGACACTCTGGTAGGGTTGATTTATGAAGTGCTTTCCTATTTGGATAATCTGTTTTTATTTTTTTGTATCATTCAGGCTGACAATCTGGATCTGTGTCATGTGATTTGTAGGTGTCTGTGTACAGTGTACCGCAGAAGAAAGACCATACCAAGTACGCTTTGGACACAGCGGCCAAACTACTGGAATTTTACAATGACTTCTTTGAAATTGACTATCCCCTGCAGAAACTTGGTAGACTTTGTCATTGTATTCCCCCCCCTCCCCCCAGCATTAAAGACCCCACTGTAATCTTATTTTCTTCTTTGTCAGACTTGATTGCCATCCCAGACTTCCTGGCAGGAGCCATGGAGAACTGGGGTCTGCTCACCTTCAGAGAAAGCAACCTACTGGTGGGGGAACACTCCTCCCTCGTGGAAAAACAAGATGTTGCTTCAGTCATTGCACATGAGCTGGCTCATCAGGTGCTTGTTTGTTATTGTATTTTTTGTTTGTTTGTTTGTTTGTTTGTTTGTTTGTTTTGCCAACATTGTACTGAAATGTGTTCCAGTGGTTTGGAAATTATGTCACAATGAGTTGGTGGAGTGACCTGTGGCTCAACGAAGGCTTTGCCACTTACATGCAGTTCATATCACTGCAGATACTCCTGCCACAGCTTGACATGGTAAGTGGTCTTCAAGTCTACACGTAAAGTGGTGAACAAACTTTTCACACCACCAGTTAGTCAAAGGTTTGATGAGTTTGAAGGCAGTTGTATGCTACAAGTGCCCTAAATTAGCAGTAGTAGTCATTTGTATTTTCATTTTCTATAATGCTCTGTTGTTGGATTTGGATGAATGGGAGTTTTCACAGTCGTGTTTCTGTAACGGTTAACTACATATATTGTAAAAATGTCCTAACTGTCATGAGACATTGTTTCTTGCTGAAAATCATAATTATTATGAGTCATTATTTTTATTCAATGTTTTATAAAAATCGGACAAAATTGTAAATGTTATTTTCTTAACGTGTCAAATTATAGTTTACTGACATCCTTGAACTGAAAAATGATTGATTAGGATTGATTCATTTTGGACTCCTCATGGAAAGCTGCCTCATATTTGGGTATTAAAAGATTATTTCAGTTTGAAAATTCTTACCTCAGGCTGCGTCAGATGCTTTTGCACTGCACGACGCAAAAAAAAAAAAAAAAAAGTGTATAACTACGTCATTGGTAGGTGGTTGTAGTGGCTTTTCTGGACGTATTTATACGTCATGAGGAATAAAAGAGTTAATGAGGTCTCATCTCATTTTCATAACAGTTGGTCAGTATGTCACCATATCAGGTGCTGTGCTACAGGTTTGTATTATGCTATTAAGCTTTAAGTGTTTGTGTTTGAAGGGCAACTTGTTCTTAGAGGTTCGATTCAGAGCATTGGACCAAGATGCACTAAACTCCACCCACGCTGTCTCTACCGGAGTCAATACATCAGAGCAGGTGCAAGAGATGTTCGACTCTGTGTCCTATAAGAAGGTGCACTTCTCTATATTTTTATTATAGTTCCTGTCTATTGGATGAGTAATTCAGGTCACCATGAAAATGTGTTGTGCTTTGGTCTTGCAGGGGGCTTCCATTCTCTTGATGTTGAACGCCTCTCTGCCTGGTGACCAGCAGTTCAGGAAAGGTATTATTCAGTATCTGAAGCAGTTCTCCGGTTTAAACACTGACACTGACGACCTCTGGAACAGTCTTACAGAGGTAGGTGCATTGTTGTTATTCTGTGATTATGTTGGGATAAAAAAATAATGATGCTGACAACTCTTGGATCTTTTTTTTTTTTTTTTTTGGCGGGGTGGGGGTGGGGGGGGGTCCTTAGGTAGAGGTCTCAAGTCAGAGTCCAAATGTGTCAGAAATGATGAGGTCATGGACATTCCAGAAAGGCTTCCCTTTGGTTACAGTCTCCCGCAAGGGGGATGAAGTGACTCTTAAACAGGAGATTTTCCAGCTCACGGTAGACAGCAGCACATATTCCTCCAGGTGAGCTCAATCCCCTTCCTCATTCTCCTCTTGCTCCTTTTTTTCCTTCCTTCTGTAAAGTGGTCATGGGAAATCACCAGAGCAAAGGTATATTTTATTATGCACTCTCTCCTAGCTTGTGGACTATTCCAGTGACATATGTGAATGACAGCTGTGGTTTGGCCCCTGAATGCAGACAAGTGTTCATGCTGAAGACCAAGTCAGGTGAATGACAATTTTCTAATATCGATCAATATCTAGTAATTTGAGTACCTCAGTTAAAATAAATAAATAAATAAATGCTCCGGGATTTTTATTCTGCCTTGAGTACCCGCTTCATTCATTCATTGCAGCAACAATTGTTCATGCTATACATGACAGCAACATGAGAAAACCAGAAAGACAACTTCAAAATAAACCTTACCTGACCAAATAATATACGGACATCAATGCCAAGGTTCGCATTTATGTTGAAGTTGTTCTCAGCAGCGTGGAGGAGCGATGCGGCTGATTTGACTTTTCTTCCAGACTGCGTTTGAGGTGTTTATTGCCATCACAAAAGGTTGCTACATTGTCCTGAAATAATGTTGGATCGTGAATTGTTAAAGGTCACAAAAAAAGACTTAATTATGCTGATACTGATTTGCATAGTGCCTGTTGCCAGCGTTTAGCGCTAGCAGCATTTCTCGCTGGCAGCGCTAAAGTTACTAGACGTCAACAACTCCGCAGACTTTGATGCTCGCAGCCTGACAGAGTTGCCGTTCCTGTTGATCACTTTTTAATAAACCAGGCTTACTCAAGTGTGTTGTTTTAGCCAGAAAAAAAATGCTACTCTGCTTTTGAAGTCACGTCATCTCATATTCATCTTATCTAAATTCTCTCTATTATTTCGAGAGAGGAATACTGTGTGCTGCTCTGAACAGTTTAAATTTATATATAATATATTTAATTTAAAAAACAAATAAATCAATCAAGTTGGTTGTTCATTACTAAGTGAGATTTATATATATATATATATATATATATATATAACACACACGCACACACACACACCTGATTATTCAATAGAATTTTCACTCGGATATCCAAATACCAAAATATTCGCGAGCTGCAGGTCTATTATTATAGTGTAATCGGTTGCCAAAGATAGCGCATGCTAAGTGCTAATGTGTTGAAACAGTTTTGAATGTCTTTTTCTTAGGCACTCTGAAGGTGCCTGAAACCGTGAAATGGCTGAAGCTGAACTACAGGAGCACAGGCTTCTACATCGTTGACTATGGAAACGAAGGTTGGGCTGCTTTGGCAGACGCCTTGTCCAACGACTTCCAAGCTCTCACACAGGAGGACCGTGCTTCGCTGATACACGACATCTTTGCTCTCTCCAAGTGGGTTTACAAATTAAACACCCTTATGTAGTTGTGTTCATCACCCTGTATGTGTTTTTTTTTTTTTTTTACACTGTTTTTCGCTTCACCTCAGACTGGGGCGCGTGTCCTTCCGCCAAGTTTTGAGCCTTCTAAACTACATGACAAATGAAACCGAGGCCAGTCCTATAAGGGAGGCCTTGCTGCAGCTCAACCACATCTACCAGATGTTGCACAAAAGATACGAGCAGGGCCTCTGCGCTCGGATGAAGGTGCGCACACACAGTAGAAAGGATATTGGGAAAGGTTTTTGAGTGTGCTTTAGTTAGGGAGGTTACAAGAATAAAAAAGCGTGCCAAACTAAGTTATCTGATCTGTCCTATTGCTCCCTGAACTTTACGGCTTGGTGTAATGTAATGCGTAACTTTTCATTTTAACATTTCTTTCCACCAACAGATTGATAAGTACTTTGCAATTTCTTTTTGGTCTTCTGGACCGGTTGGGTTTCCCTTATTTAAATTTGTTAGTTAATCATGGCACATGCCCCCCAAAAAATGTGATCTAATCACTTTGAGAGAACCGTCGATCCATCTTTGACCACATGTTGTTTATTTTTCTTTTTAAACGTTTCAAGTTAACATTTGACTTCTCCTTGAAATATTTGCAGAGATATATTCTGAATCAGTACGGTGCACTGATGGATAACCAAACATGGGACATGGAGGAGAGTGTGTCCAAACAGTATCTGCGATTTGCCCTCTTAGAGACGGCCTGTGATCTGGGGCAAGACAAATGCAAGCAGCACGCAGAAAGCATGTTTAAGCAGTATGTCGAATCCAACGGAACCTTCCAGTGAGTAAAGTTTTGTACTGAATCTACAACTACATGATTCAAATGAAATTCCTGTTGACAGAAGGAGATGCTCATAACCTGAAATGTGATTTCAAAAAAAATCTTTTTGGTAGGATTCCGGGTGATCTGCAGCGAGTTGTATTCCGTGTGGCAGCTCAGTCCACTGAAGACTGGGAGACTTTGCTCACCATGTATCACTATGCCACTTACGACACCGAGAAGAAAAATATGATACAGGGCTTAGCTTCCACGCAGGACGCACAGAAAATTGTGTGGTAAGTGTTGCCTATGGCTAGGATCAACACATTCATCATCACATACTTTCTAATAAGCCGATTAGAGTTGAGGGGTTTCTGGTCTGCTTTCGGAAAAATATAACAATATCATTCTGAAACAAAACAAAACTATTCTGTTCAGTATTATGTTCGCAGCAACAGCATTTTGCAACTGCGGTTCTACTCGTTGACCATGAGAGGGATGAAGTCGAACCTGCAAGTTTTCAGTTGATTCCTGTTCATTTTTGCAAAACATTCATACAGTGCATTTTAATGAAGTCCCAGAGAAACCTTCCAATTTTGAAAGCTCCCGCACACGTAAACACGCATACGTCTATTGAAAAGCTGACTTGCCATTTTATGTCTTGGTGGTATGACTTCTTGGGCTTTTACGCTGTTCGATTTAAGTTTCGTTATTGGATTAAAATGTTTGGTCTTATTTTATTTTTTGGTGTGTGCCTGAAATGAATTTTTTGCTCATTACGCCCATGTTGTTCCTTTCAGGCTTCTCAATGTCTGTTTGAATGGAAAGATCATCAAGGCACAGTACCTTCCCTTGCTCTTCAGAACCATCTGCCAAAACTTTGCTGGCAACTTGATTGCTTGGGACTTCGTTCAAGTCAACTGGAACCAGATCACACAAACGTGTGTGGCGTATTTTAAGGAGAAAGTGATTTCATACATCAGGACAAAACAGAATCTAATTAGTGTTTTTGCTTGTAGGTTTCCCATAGGTTCATTTTCCTTCCAATCAATCATCAACGCTGTCACCTTTCAGTTTTCTGCAGAGTCACATTTTAATCAGGTATATATTTTGATCCAAGAATAAAAGTTCAGTGGGTGTTGTCTTATACTTTGTTGTTTGTGTGTGTGTGTGTTGTGCAGGTGCAATGGTTCTTCTCCAGCGTGAGGGAGAGCGGCTCTCAGTTGCGAAGCGCGCGAGAAGCGCTGGAGACCATCCGACTGAACCAACGTTGGATGGAGAGGAATCTTCCCTCTCTCCGTAAATGGCTTTAATGCAGGCCAGGCACTCTTTCCGTTCTCCACTCACCTCCGCTGCCCCCAGTACCAGTTTAGCTGGCCGACTGGGGTACGTTGTCAAGACAACCGCAAAGTTTGCACTTTTGTCTCTTAAGCTCTGTGTAGTCTGATTTGAGCTGGACGGGGTAACCCCTCGTGTATGGCTCCCGTGAGATTTTAGCTAGCTCAGGGCGGCTCTGATTGTATCTGGCAGAAAGATGTCAGACCTAAACACTCCTCACACTTGAAGCTGTCGACCAAACCTCACATCAGACAATCATGCGATCCACTTTTTCTTTACCAAACCCTTTCAATCAGTGACTGTATGAGCTGTTTAATGGCTGCTCCCAAAAGAGCAGGTACACGTGTCAACACTGTTTCCTGTTCCATGAGCCCTGGACGGCATCTCTGCTTTAACATGTCGACTCTTCTGCACAAGTAAAATTTGCATTGGCTCCTCTTGGTAAAATCTGAAGAGAAACAATGGCAGCCTGCAATTATGCATCCTGCAGCGTTCGATATTTTGGAAGGGGTGAGGAAGTGGTTGGTCGGCCAAAAAAAAATAAAAAATCCTTCCCACAATGTACAGGAGATGGCGCAGTAAACCACTGTGCGGGGTTTAAAAGCAACCAACGTGTCTTAACTGAAGCAAGCAGCACACTGGTCACCTAAGAAGTTTGCAGCAATGATCCGATGTTCTTTCTTGTAAAAATTCTAGAATTATAATGTAAATGTAAATACAGAATGTTCTGTCCCGCAACAGCAGAAGCAGTTTTGGATGTGCCGTTTTTATTTAATCTCTAGTCTTGACTTTGCTCCACTTGAATTTTAGTTTTTTCTTCTGTACATAAAATGTATAGCGGACATTTATTGATAACATTTGATGAAGGCTCTTCTCCTCATATTTTTTACTGTGTTTCCAGGAGGCCACTTATGAAGGTGTTGTTTGTAAAAGGGCTCACGTGTATAGAAGAATGTTTATTTCGGGTAATTGTCCACAATTGCCTCATACAATGGCTTAAAGTTACTCCATCTCCAGAATAAAAAGCTGTCACCCTATTTATCATCTTTACTTGACTGCATCCCCACCGTCAGTTTTGCCCCACTGTGTATTTTTTGACAGATGTACTGTCATTTGCTATAGATTCCTATGAATAGTACATAGTCTCGCACTGAACAAAATTTTTTAAAGTGTACCCTTTTAAGATGCTCCGTGCATTTGTGTCAGTTTGTTTCTACTCCGTTTTGGGCGCCAGCAATAAGTCAGTGTAATGATGTGGTATGAGACAGAAGATGAGATATCATCATCGTGAGGCGTAGCCTTCCAAAAGTGCTGACACACTTGAGCAATTCCAAAGATACTCATCAGGTCACATGACTCAAGTAGTCACGTGTTTGGGGAACAGAACGGCCGGTAATGTGCTTTGTACAGACAAAAAGGAAAACTTGATTAAAAAGGCGCCACCCATTAGGGGATGTCCATCCATCCATTTTCTAATCGGCTTATCTTCACGAGGGTGCTGGAGCCTATCCCAGCTGTCTTCGGACAGTAGGCGGGGTACACCCTGAACTGGTTGCATGCCAATCGCAGGGCACACATGGTCAAACAACCATTCGTGCTCACAATCACACCTAGGGACAATTTGGAGTGCCCAATCAACCTGCCATGTAGGTTTTTGGAATGTGGGAGGAAACCAGAGTACCCGGACAAAACCCACACAGGCACAGGGGAGAACATGCAAACTCCACACAGGAAGGCTCCCGGAGCCGGAATCGAACCCTGCATCTTTGCACCGTGAAGTCGATGTGCTAACCAATTAACCACCGTGCTGCCCTGTAGGGTATGTTTTTGTATTTATTTCATTTCTTTTATAGGAGCACGTTTTCCACTTTTTGTGGGTCTACAGCGTCATGATCTACATCGTTGACCCCGCAATCAGTCAACTAAGTCATTTAAAAAGGAGGCAGAAAATATCAAACCCTTGAAAAGTGCAGCCCATCTATTCAATTTACATACACTGTCAGGTCACATATTCACAATTTAATGAGATCTAATAAAAGTGCGGTGTAAAAAAAAGTTTATTCCCCATGAATTCACTGTAGTTAATCACATTTTTTTGGTTCATTTTCGTTGACCACACGCAAGCCCGATTCCCACCAGACTTGTTCAATCAAGAAATTACAGAAGTAGAACCCTTCTGACAAAATAAAGTCCGCCAAAAGATCTCAGAAAGCTGCAACAAAATGCCATGATGCAAAGGAAATCAAGAACAGATGAGAAATAAAATCATTTACATTTATTTAGAAAGACTTACAAAAGTAAAGCTTTAAGGCTCCATTGAATCATGGTTTAGAGCCTTCATCCACAAATTGATTAAGCGTGGACCAGTGATGAAACGTCCCCGGAGTGGCCAGCCTCCAGAAATTACCCGAAGAGCACAGCAACAACACATCCAGGAGGTCACAAAGGAACCAAGGACAACGCATAACCAACTGCCGGCCTCACTCGCCTCAGTTAAGGTCAGTGTCCTTGACTCAACAATGAGCTAAAATTACATCCATGGCAGAGCTCCAAGGTGAAAAGCATTGCTGACTATAAGAGCATAAAAGCTTGCCTTACTTTTTAAAAAACACATCCGAATGATTCCCAAGACCTGTGGGAGAATATTCTATGGACTGATTTTGGAAGGTGTGTGTCTTGTTACATCTGTCTTACATGCAACGCAGCATTTCACATAAATAACATGACACCAACAGTCAAACATGGTGGCAGGGTGATGATCTGGGGCTGCACTGCCCATACAGGACTTGAACGGCTAGCCGTGATTGACAGGTTGTGCAACGGGTCAATGTCTCCAACTTCTGGATGGCTCAGAAAAACAGAATCAAGGTTTTGGACTGACTTCGTTGCAGTCCAGACTTAAATCTGATTGAAATACTGTGACATAGCCATTAAAAGACTGTTCATACTTGAAAACTCTCCAATGTTGCTAAATCAAAGTCATTTTGCAAGGAAGAGTGAGCCAAGTTATCCCCACAGAGATGTGAAAGACTTGTTGCCAGTGATAGAAAACACTTGATTTCGATTGTTGCTGCTGAGGGCGGCCCAACCAGTTATTAGGTTTAGAGGGCAATCACTTGTTCACACAAGGCCATGGAGGTTTGGATTTTTTTTTCTGCCTTGGAAAGGAAAAGCGGTTCATAAAATGGATGGATGGAATCATGAAATGCTTTGTTTAAAAACGGCATTTTGTGTTAACTTGTGGTGTATTGCACTTATATTGAAATGTGTTGATAATGGGGGGCATTTAAATCTGCCCCACTGCATATTACAACTCCCCAAACAGAAAGGATCAAGTTGAACTGCTCAATAATGCCGTGAACTGAGTAGAAATTCAAATCAATTAATTCAGGAATGTAATGCTGGTCTAATTCTTACAGATTATCGTACCAATCCACAGTTACCGTGCAAATATGTCCCCAAGGGGGAGTGAGTGGTACATGATTGATAAAAGTAACCTCTTTGACCTTTTATACAATTCTGGGAATGTTATAACCTTAATTGCCATGTTCTTCTAGAAGTAATCATGCACTAGTCTTTGTTCCGGATAAAAAGTGTTTGGGATGAGAGAGATAATAAAGTGCCCGTTTTGAACAGGCTGCGAATTTTGTTCCATGATGACATTTGGAGTTTTATTCACGAAATGGCAGTGATGTTATGTACTGTTAAAATGTGATACAGTTGAACAATTTAGCTCTCTATTAACATTAATGGATATAGAATGTTAAAAAAAAAATCAACCTGAGATTGTCAGTAATTATTTTACATTACAGTGTCACATTTAAATTCAACTTAATTTGTCATGACGTATGCTATCAGGGATAGAACTTTTTTTTATCGTTTTTTATTTACGTTTGACTTTTACATTATGTTGGTTTGTAAATTTTTTCACATTTTTTTCCCCAAAATGATTTGTTTTGGTAAATGTTTTTTGTCGGATTTAGTACTAATTGTCGTTTTTTTTTTTTTTAATGAGACTGCCCAGTGCAAGATAAAAAAAAAAGTCATCAACTATAGTATGATGAAGTAAAAGTACAATTCGCAAACATCAGTTTGACCATCGTTCCTCTCAGCACAGTAATACCAAAGTAAATCCATTTAAAATAAACCCTGAAACCTCATGTATGAAATTAACTGACAAGATGAAAAGGCAGGAAGCTTTCGCTAGAGTGATATAATTTTATAAACATTTTCAGTTCCCGTTTTTTTTTTTTTTTAAGCACTCGGTTTTTGTTTCATTAACAATTAAATTTTCCATTTTTGTTTTACCTATTTTGTTAATTTTCCTTAACGACAATTCACTTAGTTCTTATATGTTGCTGATCTATTGAACATGTTAATATGACAGAAACAAAGTGATTAAAAGTTATTGGTTGTTTTTTAATACTAATGAGCACTTTGCCAAAATGAGATGCTACCACGCAGGGAGAAATGACTGAGGACCTTAAGCCACACGTACTTTTGAGATGCAACCAGATAAAAACGATTTTATGCAAAGTGTCACCATTTTCAGAGGATCAAACTATTTTACTCGGAAATTACGAGAAGCATTCAAGAAACAGAAATCAGATTAGATTTAGACAGAAAACATAAAAACAAATCCTCACTGTTGTTTTTGTTGATGATGTGCTCCTGCTTTCTAAACAGTAAATGGCATATTTTTATGTAAGCTCTTAAATTGTGTGGGTGAAAGTTTACACTTCAATCACCTCGTTTGTTTTATTCCCAGTTCATTGTGCCGGTGTAAACTCTTGTCAATGATCAATTATCTGTGGGGTGCTACCTACGACTTACCTTGTGTTGGAATGATGAATTGTGTCAAAAGTCTCTTATGGAGTTCCAACGAGGTTTCCATGCCAGCTAATTTGCATCTGGCTGTCTTCCACTGAGTGGGTGTAGCAGCCTCATTTTTTTTTTCTGCACTGGCCAATTACCGAAGGGCACAGCTTTAAAGATTCAAACAATGTGTCATCAGCAGCAGGATCACGTGGGAATTTAATTTTAATTTACGATCTATTAAAACTTAAGGTCTTTCACAGACATGCACGCATACATCCACCCTGGTTGAACTCAGATTTGGATCTTCATAACACATCTACGAAAGTGAATATAAAAAGTCTTCCCACATCTGTTCAAATGTCAGAAATGGCATTGAATTCTGGACATGTTCAATGTATAGTCGCAACAAAAAGTAAACGTGATTGTACATAAATGTGGGAAGCGCCAAAAATGAGTTCTCTTGTTTATTTTGCTTTACATTTGATGTTTAACTCTGACTTCAGGTCGGAATGGTTAAAATCATTTTATGATATAACTTTTTTTTTTAATTTTGTCATTGCTGATGTTGAATCACTGTAACGTGCTAGGCGTCAACATGCTATTAGCATAAATGTCATGTGGCTATCGTTTAAGTCTATAGTAATTTATTAAGTAATTATTAAGGCTATCGTTTAAGTTTAAAATGTCACTCCTGTTATTTCCAGTCCAATTACTCAAGTTAGGAGGTTCAAGGCAATACAACGTCCATCCATCCATTCATTCTCGGCGCCACTTATCCTCACAAGGGCCACGGGGCGTGCTGGAACCTATCTCGGCCGTCCTCAGGCAGTAGGCGGGGGGGGGTCCAGTTCACCCTGAACTGGACTGAACTGATCGAGTCAATCGCAGGGCACACATAGAAAAACAACCATGAACCATTTGCGTTCACACTCACACCTACGGACAATTTAGAGTGATCACCGTGCGACCTCCAATGCAATAATAACAAGAAATGTAAGTTGCCTGAGATAGGCCAATAAATGTTGAATATTAAAAAAAAAAAGTTACAATTTGAATTCATTTTTAAAAAGTTACAAAAGGCTAGTGACTCTCGCCCTTATGGGCTAATGTACATTAGACATATTTGTACCACTCACATGCAATTTATAGAATGTCAAATACAATAAACGGTGGATTGCATAAAATTCTCTGACCTGGAATTTGTGCTTATCATTTTGTG